GACAGGCTGCCCAGGGAGGCTGTGGAGTCTCCATCCCTGCAGACATTCCAGCCCCACCTGGATGTGTTCCTGTGGGATCTGCTCTAGGGGATCCTGCTCTGGCAGGGGGGTTGGACTGGGTGATCTCCAGAGGTCCCTTCTAACCCCACCATTGCAAGTGATTCTACTCACCCTTCCCTGCCTTTTCCTGCCCAGGAAACTGATGTTATCCTGCTGCCTGCTTGGAGCCCAGGGGAGGAGGGACCAGGCTGTCCAGCTGCTGCCGGTTCCCTGTCTGAACCAGCCAGTCATAGAATTTGTTTTCTACCAGCATCTGGAACTGTTTCCTCTGATCCCTGAAAGCAAAAGAAGATCAGCAGGGAAGTAGGCAAAGCTCACATGTATTTATAGCATTATACTTTTATACCTCTGTTTCAGTACCAAAATAAGCCTCCATCTGGAGCAGCTAAAAGCCAAGACTGGTTCAGGAACTGCCTGCACCAGGAAGAGGTTTTTAACCAGGTGAACAGGACTAGAACAAATCCCAAAAGCAAAATTCCTCATGCAAACTCCCCCAGCCCACCAGCACAGCCCCCCTCCTCCAGCAGCAGAGGCTGCCTCTGCTCTATTCCTGCAGCCCAGAATAAAAACTGTCTGAAAAGGGCAAAAAAAAGAAGATTAGGAACCAGGGTTTAAGCCCTGAAGACACAAAATTCTGTCCTGACAGCATCTGGAAGAGAGGGTGGAGATCAAGACAACAAACCTGCATATAAAGAGAACTCCTCAAATAATTCCCATTACTGGTAAACAACTTTTGGGGTGGATCTGGGAAGACCAGGTTATACCACTTAGCTCAGGCTCTCTGTCCCTGGCACCAGATGTCCAAGAACTGCACATGCTTCTCCAGAAAAACATCCCAACCATCTGGAACCAGCTCTACAATCTCTTAAACTACAGAAATATTGAATAACTCCTGCTGCACTTAATTTTCCTAGGAGCTCCTGCAATTCCTTTTGGAATCCATATAAAACATAAGCATTTCCAATCTCCCACAGAGATTTTAGGTGTTTTCACTTTGAACCCACTCCTAATTGGATGTATTTGTGGATCAATATTGAAGGTCTCCTTAAAGATGCAAATCCCTTTTAAAAAGACCTTTTTGCTTTTCTACAAGTAAGGTGGCATAATTCCTTTGAGGAAAAAAAGTCAGTGGTGAGTAATTCTAAGAATGACTTTAAATGGCAAAACTCTGAGGTGTTATATAAATATAAAGTAACTCACAGGAAAGGAAAAATAACTGATAATCAGAGAATCATGGAATGGTTTGAGTTGGAAAGGACCTTAAAGACCATCAAGATCCAACCCGCTGCATGGGCAGGGACACCTCCCACCAGCCCAGGCTGCTCCAAGCCCCATCCAACCTGCCCTTCAACACTGCCAGGGATGGGGCAGCCACAGCTTCCCTGGGCAACCTGGGCCAGGCTCTCACCACTCTCACACTCCACAATTGCCTCCTCATGTCTCTCCTCACTCTCCCCTCTCCCAGTTTTCATCCCTTCCCCCTTGTCCTCTCCCTCCCTGCCCTTGTCCCAAGTCCCTCCTCAGCTTTCCTGGAGCCCCTTCAGGCTCTGGAAGGTGCTCTAAGGTCTCCCTGGAGCCTTCTCTTCTCCAGGCTGAACACCCCAACTCTCCCAGCCTGGCTCCAGAACAGAGCTGCTCCAACCCTTGGATCATCTTCATGGCCTCCTCTGGACTCTCTCCAGGAGCTCCATGCCTTCTCCCCCAGTCTGGAGCTCTTCCAAACTGCAGGTTCCTCCACGTTCAGCACAGAGGGACCAGCAGTGCAGAAAGCAACAAGGGAAGCAGAGGGAGCTCCTCCAAAACAATCAACAACCAAATGGACTAGAACTCCTTAGCCTGGTATGATGGGAAGTGTTGAGAGTTTGATCCAAAAGTGGAGGTTTGCACATTTTGTGCTTTCCAGAGGATCAACCCCCCTGAAATCCCTGTCTATCAGCACCCAGTTACAAGTCATGCTCATGCTGAGAAAGCCAAGAGAAAGACACCATGAGATGGACCAGGACAGGCCCAGCTGGGCAGAGGGTTGGATGTGATCTGATAAAGAGGACTTTAAAAGCTACTGCCCACGAGGTGATCTACTGCAATGGACCACGTGCACATTCTTAGCTCACCTCAACAACAGATGGGACAGTAATTTAAAGCTTCTCTCAGGGTAAAGGTTGGGCTAAGAGTGACCACCAAGCAGCTGCAGGTCAATAAGGAGTTGAGCTGTTGATCAGGGTAGGCACCCAACTCTCACCCACGGCAGCAGGAGACACTGGAAGCAGAACAGAGACAGGGACCAGCATGAGAGAAGGTGACACCTCTCCCTGCCAGGGTGGGTCCCTCAGCAGTACCTCAGGAGGCTTTTCCTTGGCTCTGGCAAGCCAGGAAAATGCAGCCATGGCAAAGCAGCTCCTGCAGAGTCATGACTGTGAGAATTATTCTTCTCACTGCAATAATCCTAGAATGCCAGGTTGGAAGGGACCTCAAGGATCACCTGGTCCAACCTTTCTAGGTAAAAATAAAGTTGAGATGAGATGGCCCAGCACCCTGTCAGGCTGAGACTTAAAACTCTCCAATGGAGAGGAATCCACCACTTCCCTTGGGACAATATTCCAATTCCTGTTCTCATGGGGAAGAACTTTCTTCTGGAGTCCAATCAGGCTCTCCCCAGAAGTCACTTGCACCCATCACCCATGTGACTCCTCGTAAAAGTCACAGAATCATCACAGACTGGTTTGAGTTGGAAGGGACCTTCAAGAGCATCCAGATCCAACCCCCTGCATGGGCAGGGACATCTCCCACCAGCCCAGGTTGCTCCAAGCCCCATCCAACCTGCCCTTCAACACTGCCAGGGATGGGGCAGCCACAGCTTCCCTGGGCAACCTGGGCCAGGCTCTCACCACCCTCACACTCCAGTTCCCTCCTCATGTCTCACCTCAATCTCCCTCTTCCAGTTTTCATCCATTCCCCCTTGTCCTCTCACTACAAGCTCCTGTCCAAAATCCCTCCACAGCTCCAGAAGAGACTCTCCATCTTCTTGGCAGCCACCCCTGCATGTGCTGATCCATAACACCAAACACCAGGATTGCTAACTAATGCTCTAGGAACACCATGCAAGACGTGGCTCACCCAAACCAACCCATCCCTGAAGCACATCAAAGGCATCTCCCAGCGGTTGAGAGCTGAGCTGCAGGGACACAACACTCACTTGGTCAGACCTGCCTCCTTCACTGTTCTCTGCCAGATCTGGACCTTCTGCTCCTGCTGGCTCAGAGCCTCCTGGTAGGCTGGAGGCAGCTCCCCTGGAGTCTCCGTGGTGTCTCCTTCCATCTCAAAAGGAATCACAAAGGTGTGGAAGTCCATGGGTGGCAGCAGGCGGAAGACACTGGTGTCCCCACTCTCCTTCCCCACCAGCATGGGGTTGTCCCAGTGGTTGGGCAGTGTGGCCAAGCCCACCTGAGCCATGTGGTCTTCAAGCATGGGATAATGGGTGTGGAAAGGGGCGAAGCTGACGGCCTGGTTCCCAGGAAGGAGGAGAGGCTGGGTGGGGGTCAGGATGTAGAAAGTACAGCCAGTGGTGGAAGAAAGGGACAAACGGTGACAAACCACAATGACTTTGACATTGTCACAGTTGTGGACATGAACAGATGCCTGCACAGGGCCAAGGACAAACGTGCTGTTCCGGCACTTCTCGATGGTCACAGATCTGCGAGGGAACAAGGGGAGGGAGGGCAGAGTGAGCAGGAGTCACTGAAACCAGGACTTGTCACAGTTGAGAAGAACCTAGTGCTTCACCACACATGCTGCAGAAACCATCCAGCTGTGTCCCAGAAGAACTCACCTGAGAGGAGAGAGAAGGTAAATGAAGGACTCGTTGCAGCGGTGGATCCTGACGTGAGATCCCACCAGGGTGTCTGAGCTCTTGGCCAGGGTCTGCTTGTACACCTGGCTCATTATCACCATGGGGGACACCTGGGGCACCACACAGGCACTGCAGGCTATCTTGGCTCTCCTGGTTGTGCCTTCAACTGCAAAACAAAGTTATCCAATAGAGTAACTGGCAGAGGGGAGATTGAGGTGAGACATGAGGAGGGAATTGTGGAGTGTGAGGGTGGTGAGAGCCTGGCCCAGGTTGCCCAGGGAAGCTGTGGCTGCCCCATCCCTGGCAGTGTTGAAGGGCAGGTTGGATGGGGCTTGGAGCAACCTGGGCTGGTGGGAGGTGTCCCTGCCCATGCAGGGGGTTGGAGCTGGATGCTCTTGAAGGTCCCTTCCAACTGAAACCAGCCTGGGATTCTATGATTTAAAAACCACCAGGAGCTGCACATGATTCCTGCAGAGACACAGGCATGAAGGGGGCACTGCCCACACCCCCCAGCACTGCACATCAAGTTCCCAAAATCAGGGCACATGGAAAGATCAAACCCACTTCAGGGATCACTCAGGAGCAGTCAAAACCTTCCCACAGGCTGCAGCCCTGAGGGAGGTGTCCCCACTTGCAGCAGCTTGCTCCTGAACATCAACCTGAGCTTGGCAGGAAGGTCCTCAGGGCTGGTTTGATGCTGAGAGCAGGAGCTCCCCCTTCAGCACCACCCCTGAGCAACTTCACTCCTCCTGCCACCTCTAAGACTGGGCAAAAAACACCCATCTCCATTGCTCCCTCCTGAGGTGGAAGGTGCTTTGGGATTCAAGACAAGGGAACTTAGCCCAGGTCTCAGCTTTGCCACAAAAACCATCCAATGATCTCTCCTCTGGGTCCAGCTCTGACCTCCCTCAGAGGGGTCCTCTGGAAATCAACTCATTTCTGTTTGCTCACCAAAATGCTCCAAAGCCTAAAAAAAAATACACACAGCACCCTCTGGTCCCCTAGAGTCACCTCTGAGCTGGCACTTTCCCCCCTCACCCACCAAAGGAACCCACCCCAGTTTCTTTCTAGTTGATAAATGAGTTATTTCTCCAAATAAAAGCAAGTCCTGGAGGTACCTTGTTGAGCCCAGGCCAGTTTCTTCCCAGCTTTGAGACAGGCAGTCATTCCAAAAGGGTTTGATGTCAGACAGGACCTCAACCAGCTCTCCAGCTTGGGGAAGGAGAAGGTTTTGGAGCTCCTGGAGAAGCCATTGAGGCTCTGGCAGGGTTGCCAAAGGGCCAGTTCCTGGAGAGGACGGACTGCCCGGGATTTGCTGACTGTCCCTTCCAGGAGGAAACCGAGGGCACAGACGGCTTGGAAGGGCACGGAGCTGCTGTGGGAACAGTGGGAGGAGCCCGAGAGCTGCTCCGGATCCAGCAGCAGTTCCAGCATCGCCGAGAGGTGGCTCTGCACGAAGGCGAGGTGCTCCTGGTCGTTCCAGTTCTTGGCAGGAGGAAACAAGAAAACAGAAAAATGGAGGTGAGTTCTCACCGAGCTGATGAGCTCCGGGGGTTTCACACAACACCCCCGTGCTCGTGTTTTGAATGGGCTCCAGGAAAGCTGGGGAGGGACTTGGGACAAGGGCAGGGAGGGAGAGGACAAGGGGGATGGATGAAAACTGGAAGAGGGAGAGTGAGGTGAGACATGAGGAGGAAGTTCTGGAGTGTGAGGGTGGTGAGACTAAGTCCCTTCATCCTATTAATCATCTGCACGTGTCCTAAATGACATTTCACTACCTCACAGCATCACAGTCATGACAGAAACCCCTTGGGGTTTGCAGCTGGTATTGACAGCCTTTAATGCACTCTCCAGAACTGCCCTCAAGCTGCCCCCACATAGCCAACTCCTTTCAAAATACTTCCCAGGAGGCAAGGAACACCTTCACATGGTTGGTCTGCAGATCAGCAACCAACTCCCTGCTCTAAAACACAGCTTCACTTGCCAGGGAAGACCCTGGGAGCCTCACACCCAACAGCAAATTAGGGGGCAGCCACCTCCAGTGCAAGGCATTAGCTAATAGAAAAGGTAAAGACATGGCTGCTGATTAAAAGGAGAAGACTCCAAAAGAGCTTCCACAGCTGGTCTTGGACTCTAGTAAGTTCCCATGGACAAGTTCTGCTGCAAGGAATACACTGACTTCATTTTCTGTTTGGCAACTCTCCCCAGGTGGCCTCCAGCTGAGCTCTTGGCACAGACAGGGTTCCATGGTGACACTCTCCCAGGAACAAACCAGCTGCTTCTCAATCCTCCTCAAGGCAGGTCTTGGCAGTTTCCCACAAGCAGGACCCTACAGCCACACATACCTTGTTCTCACTGGTGGGTTTCCCAGTCAGGCTGGGAGACTTGGTCCTGGGGCTGGGCCATTCCTCCCCGATCAGGGACCGTCGTAGGGAGACGTTGTTCAGCTGCTGCACATACAGGAAGAGCAGGAACTGCAGGGTGTCCACCGACAGCTGGCCGAGAGAGGAGGAAAAACAGGCAGTTAGGCCGGGCTGGGCTCTCCCTACATCCCCCCCAGCCCCGGATGCAGCTCCTGCCTTGCTCCTCTCCTGCTCCAGCTCCTCGGCGCTCTCACACGCCGCCTCAGCTTCAGCCCACTCGAGCCGTGCAGGCGAATCCGGCTGGACGAGGCTGTGGAAGAGCTGGAAGTAGAGCCAGGCCGGGCCGCGGCCCAGCTGCAGCTTCCCGCAGGCGATGTGGCGCCAGCGGGGCCAGCGCA